TGGTACTAGGAAAATGCTCGAAAAATTGCGTTGCTAGAACAGTTATATTGTTCTTTGCATACAATTTCTACAACAGTGGAGAGAGGCAATCAGAATAGAAAAATAAGTAATTGTTTTCATAAATTGAAAGAGTTGAAAAAGAGTAGATGTCTATAAATAGTTTCTTTCTTTCTTTCTTTCTTTTAAAGATTTATTTATTTACTCATACAGAATTGGGGTATAAGCCATAGGTGCAGGGGCCTTGAGGGGCTTTACCAGAGACAGGGCGGGGAATAGAAGAGTCAGATCAAGGGGAGCAGCAGGTGGGTCAGGAGAGGTCTGCCACGGCATGTGGGTGAACCTCCAGGGTGGGGGATCAAACTCATACTGAAGCAGCTGCAGGCAGCTTGCAGTGCTGTGTCCTAACCCATTGCAACACCAGGGAGGGCCAATAGTTTCTTTTTTAAATTAAATACTTTTAGAAGACTTTGTTCCTTGGTTATCATTGACAGTTAATTACTTCTTTTGGAAATATTGATAAGGAATCATTGTGAAAACATTTTTAATAGTTAAAATTATTTTAAAAATGTATTTGAAAGCAGTGAAATGATTTTTTTTAATTAATGGTGTTATTATATGCCAAGAATTTGGTGAACATTATATTTTTATGTGTCAAGATACACTATTAGGCATTGTCAACTAGCTTTAGTTTATTTTCATAGTAAAATTGTGAGTTATTTTTGTTCACCATTGTAGTAAAAAAGAAGAGTGATCTATCTACCTATCTATATAGATCTATCTATATAGAAAATAGATAGATTTTCTATATAGATTGGAAAATGGAAGATATTCTATTTTCATTATTAATATCAAAATAATAAACTGCTTCTTTTGTCACTTACCTCCTTGTCTAGGTCTTCAGTAATTATAACTGTCTCATTTGTTCCATTATATAGGAGAGTAATTTTGTTTACAGATAGATAGATCTATATAGATAGATCTATATAGATAGATATTCTTGTATATTATTTACATATAGATAGATAGATAGGTAGATAGATAGATAGATAGACATGAAGATAAACCATGCTTTTCTTATACATAAAAATAAACCATCCTTTTTCTTGTTTAGATTAAGCACTGGTTAGTGCAGCACACCTTTTTTTTTTTTTTTAAGATTTATTTAGCATCTAAAACTAGGGTATAGGCCAAAAGTATAGGGGGCTGGATTGAGAGGATTCACCAGAGCACAGTGGGGAGCAGAACTGGCAGATGAAATGAAATGGACTACTGAAACAGGAGACTCTGCAGTGGCTGTGGATACCTGAAGGTGCTATGTCTTTAACTAAACCTAAACCTGTGCCACCAGAGAAGCCCCAAAAACTAATTTCCAGCTGTGCCTGTTAACCATTTATTCATTCTTCCTTTGAAATTTACTTTTCATTTCAGAAATGCAGTGTCTTAGTTTGACATATAATACCACTGGTAAAATTGTGATTACCCCACTTTGGAATTTCATAAAAGAACAAAATGTTTAAAAGAAGTAAAATGGGAGTGATATTCTTTATAGTGCTAAAGAAGCTGATTAAATATGCAACCTATAATACCCCAACGTCAATGCAACCTATTTAAAGCTAATACAGTAAGAAAAAAAAAAAAAAAGTTCTACATTGCCAAGAAACCCCACTTGCCAAACAAACAAAAAACAGCAGCACAATTGCTAAGTATCAAATAGATGAAATAATCTCTCAGGTCCTGCTCAGCTTTCCAATTTATAAAATGTATGAGAACATAAGGCTGTGTCCAAGCCACAGTCCCCATTTTTAAATTTCAGTTAGTCAAATGACTATTATTATAAGAGTTAAGCACTTCTAAAGTGGTTGGTTGATTAGGAGGTTGTTGTTTTACTTAATTTTAAACATAAACATTCATGGGGAGAGTATGTTCCTTGTAGTACAGAAACAGCCTTAAATATGGACCAAAATTTATAACAGCTGTTTCCTAGAATATGTAACCTTTGCTGGACCTTCCCTGGTGGCACAACTGGTTAGAATGCAACACTATGAAGCTGCACTGCAGCACTATTTTGAGCCCTACCCAGGCAGCTGGCTTGCTGCTCCCCTCAGCACTGTATTTCAGTCCATCTGCCTGTTCTGCTCCCCACTCTATCTCTAATGAATGCTCTCATCCCCCTGCACCTGCGGCCTATACCCCAGTTCTTAAGTAAATAAATAATCTTTAAAAAAAAGAAAAAGAAAATAATATGGAGCTTTAGTGCAAAGGAATAAATGAGAAAAATCATACTTCATTTTAGTAATGTTTCTTTAGGACTGAGAAATAAAACAAGCCAAGGAAGATATTCCATTTTCACTATTAATATCAAAATAATAAATTGTTTCTTTTGTCACTTACCTCCTTGTCTAGTTCTTCTGTAAATGTAACTGACTCATTTTTTCCATTATATAGGAGTGTAACTTTGTTTACAGAAGTCTTTTCTTTTCCCCAAATACTGATGAATCCAAGTCTCATCTCATCTTTGTTTAGGTAACCATTTTTCAATACAGTACTTGTTAAGGTAGTCTAAAGAGATTAAAAAATAATTTAAATAATTCATTTGCAAAATCATTAAATATATTAATCAAAGCCTTAGTTTATAGTATGACAAAATGTAAATACATTTGAAATTAATTATTTATAATATAAAATAAACACAAAATATGACAAGCCACTTTAAACATTATTTAACAATATTACATATAAGGAACACATAAATATATACCTTGTTTAAATTAAATTGTACCAAGGAATACAGGCCATTTTCATAGGTATCTGTAGAGAAAAGTAAAAATTTATATTTAAATTTCAAAATAAGAAACACAGTAAACACTAATGAATTTTGCTTTCTTTCTTAATATAAAGGGCACTGTATACATCTCATTACACATACAATTATTCTCTAAGTTTATTTCACTCTTTCTAATACAATCCAAGGAACATTTATTTGTGATGAATCACTACAGATTTTCCTAGACAGGGACAATTGTGTGTGTGTGTGTGTGTGTGTGTGTGTGTGTGTAACACTAAAGCCATTACAGTTTTAGAATCAGCTGTATATAGTTCTGGGGAAAATACAAGAATAAACACAATTTTGTGGTGGTAGTATTATACACTTACTGGCCACCTTAATAAAAATAATATTTATACATAAAAAGACCCCATGGTAGTATAAAATAATCAGTTGTATATATAAAGAAGATATGGCATATATACACAAAGATACCCTCAGCTATACAAAATTAAATCTTGCTATTTGCAACAACATGGACAGAGCTGGAGGTGCTGATGCTAAGCAATATAAATCAGGAGAAAAAAAAATACCAGATGATTTCATTCATGTAGAGAACACAAAAACAAAGCAAATGATCAGACAAAACAATCCACTGAAATTTGACTGCAAACTGGAGAAAAGGGTGGGCATAATAGACTATGGCGGAAGATTATTGGGGATATGGGAGTGACTTTATTGTGTTAAAATACATTTGTAAGGTGTTAGTTTATTACCATAATAAACATAATTCAATTAAAATAATCAATAAAGTAAAGTAAATAAACTTTGTTTCTTTCCAAATTGTCTTCTGTTTATCAAGTCCTCACCTGCAAATACTCTTACACTATCCATTTCTTTTTGTTATAACAACATACTTTTATGGAATCCTTTTACTTATTTTGATAATAGTGAAATAAATGTATAAATATTTTATTAATTGACATTTATCATAAGATGAATAATCAACCCTTAGAGATCATTACATGTCAAAAGAAATATAATCTGATAAAATTGGGTTTATATCTATATCTGTATATGAAATATATTATTTTTAACTTTTAAAATCAATTTTAAAATTATCTCATAGCTAAAATTAATTGTTTATTATTTTTCAAAACAAGTAACATATAGATCTGCTGTAAAAGAAATATATTATTGCTATCGTCATTGTATAGAAGAGGGAATAAAGCCACCGAGAAGT